TCTTCCTTTCAAATAAACACTTTAGTAACGAATTGATCAAAAGTGAATACTGTCCATCACTTAGCGTAGATAATCTGGACGCCGATTTCGGCCCAAAGAGTGGTCCACTTTATGCAGTGCGCTGCGATGACACCGTAATAGAGTTACGTGGATGTTCAGGCAACCGGCGCAACAGATCAACCAGTTAAAAATTCCACATTGCGTCCGCATAAACAGTACATCGCGTGATCGATCCAAGATAAGTAACTGATGGTTCATGTCATTTCTGTTTGGCTACAATATACGGTGAAGCCAGTAGAGCGGCGAGTTTCCAGTTTGTCCTTCTGCCGGATCTGGCCTACACATTGAAGTCAACAGAAGAGTGTTCACGCGGCTCGTAGGATTCAAACATTTCCACTTCGAGTTCGATTACAGACGATTACGACTTCGAACCACAGATGGCCTGGTAACTAGTTCGAACCTATAAGATATCCCACTACATAGGCTCATCACCTACGAAAAACGCTAACACGGATTATCTACTCTTCCAGTGTCAATGAAAGAGAAAGGCCGGGCGCGTCTTTGTTTGGAAGAACAATACTGTCTTTGCTTTACTATATGAGTACTAGCTGTCCTTATCGATTCTTCTTCGTTATTCTCGGGTCAATGCGTTTTCACTATTCGGATCGTTATCACTGCACTGACAATGGTATCAGTTAGTGGTCAACAACAATGCACGACCATGTGAATTTTTCGCGTTCCTGTCGATTAGAATAGCACGTGACTGTGCACCTGAATGTGTGTGGCTATCTCTTGAATCACGCTGCGAAAGAGGGAAAGATAACTGAAATCGATCACTGATTGAGTTTGTCACGGGGTTTTGTTTGCTGTCTGCATCCACCGAAAAACTGTGAAAATAGTTACATAGAGCATGCAGTCAGTTCGCCTTTTCAGCAAAGGAGTTTAAGTACCGTATAGGATTCAAAAGCGACCCATCAATGAATGCCCACGTAGCACGTAGTATGTTCGCATCCGTCAGTATTTCGCATGCAACATCACAGGCAAACATAAAACGTGGTAATAAAAATCACGCAAAAGCTATAGGGGGCCAAAAGTTACACTGCCAAGCTGAATGAACAACACAGAAAATACGTAAGCCCGAGCAGACACCACCTTCGTCATAATGGGATTCATTAAGTGGCCGCAGATGGTGGTGATTATCTGGTCAGCAGCCCCAGACCGTTGGTTATTCGATCGCACAGCGACAATTTATCCAACAGGCGTGTTACTCACATCCAGTCTTTTACTTCGTCGCGTCTGATCGCTGATGTTAAAACGTTGAGAAACACTATTTGTTCAAAACTTGAAGAGAATCAAAGTATGGTGCATCAAAACTCGAAGCTGTGATAAGGAGACCCGTTTGTCTGAGCGCATTATCACTAGTTACCCACTAGGTACTGGTTCTGATTGTGACAGTTTGGTTCACAGACAATGTGAGCGCCCAGCTACTCATGGTTGACAATAGCCCGCGTTCAGGAAGCAAGTAATCGAATGGTGGGTATGTGACTGGAGTGCCAATGGCTCCAGCAAAGTTGTTCCCTTTAATTATCTCATTCGGGGAATAGGGCAACCGTAAACACATACGTCTACATAAGTACCTCAGAATTTTCCAATGCTTTGGAAAATCGATCACCTCAGGCGTCGTTTAGTTGTACACATATCATAAGAGGCGCACGAAGGCAAAGATTAAGACCACGAAGTCATTCACGTCTGGAAAGCAGCAATCAGGAAGAGCGGGATCAACCCTGATCACTGGTTTTCACCGCCAACATTTCATAATTTGACTTCCTGTCAACTCGGATGGGGA